TGAGTTCTGTGGATGCCAAGCCTGGCCTGAACATAATGATCTTAGACATGCTGAAAAAGAAACAAGAGGAAGACCCAGCTAAATATGGATATGTGTGTCTTATGTTGGATGCAGAACATGTCCAGTATAATCCTCATACCCAGAAAATGTGTGGATATGGGCAATGGTATGAATGAATGCCGAAATTATATGCATCAACAATGGTGAGTTGTGTACATATGTAAAAAGTTGTCATTATTCCCCTATGGATGTACTGTCTGTGGCATACAACATGTTAATGTGAATTTCTCTTTTAATTGACTTACAGACATTCCCTCAAAGACTGCCACAGGGACCATAGCCATTCAGGTGGAGGACTTTAATGATCACTGTCCAAAACTGACCACTACAGCTCATACCATGTGCCTGGAGGATAATGTGATCTATGTGACAGCTGTAGATGAAGATGCGTTTCCAAATTCAGCACCGTTTGAGTTCAGTGTGATTCAGGAGAGCAGCAAGGGGAAATGGACAGTGGAGCATTTTAATGGTAAGACCATGTGAAGAGGACAGTTACTGCTTGGCAAAGTTCCAATACTACCCTGTTAAAAGGCCATTGTTCTTTGAGGTTTACATTAAAAGGGCTTCAGACAAAGGCAGCATTTAGCTCTAGTTTTGTAACTCCAAAACTTTAGGTTTCTAGAGACTCAGAAGAAAACTGCTGCTTAGTCTTTTTTGCTTTTGTTTTTTTAGTAATTTCATTGTACAAATATGTATTAACTCAAACATGTTTTCTATTGTTGCTACAAATAAATTGTTTTAAGCTCCAAACACACTCACTAGGGGTGTTTTGCTCATAGCAAAGCTGCACTTTGTCATCACTGTCATATCTTTTGTACTACACGTCACAGAAAGTACTTAATAATAGACTGCTTTATGTGGGTATTCCAGTTTCCAGACGCTGCAAGTTTAATTACTGGCATGGATTACTGGGATTCTCAAATCAAATACAACCAATAATAATGTTACCTACATCCATTTTTCCCTCAAAAGCCAACTAAAGGCCCATCCTGGCTTTATATTTAAAGAGCCTTATTACAAATTGCAAGGCATAAACAATCTTCATAACTTGTGCAGCAAATTTTAAAATTTGTCTTTCATCAGACACCACAGCCATTCTGCGAGACCAAGCCAACTTATGGCCAGGCAACTACAAAATAGCACTGTTGGTCAAGGACCAGCAAGGAAAGTCGTGCGCTGATGTTCAGGTGATGGACTTAACTGTGTGCGCTTGCCCAGAACACACTAAAAGTTGTATGGAGCGCATTTCGAAGACTGCAGGTTTTGGTGCTGCAGGTATCCTGCTTCTGCTCCTGGGACTGTTGCTGCTGCTACGTGAGTAGCTGTTTCCACTGGAGACACTCATTCTCCAGTGAACTCTTGAGGTCCTGTATGGTCTGAAGGTGTATTGCCTTGTCCTGCGCATAATTCAGATGAGCCTCCTTTAGGTTTTCAGTTTGGCTTGTTGTACCCGGTACTTTTTACCATACTGACTCAGAGACGAGGCAGTCCAAGTAACTACAAAACAGTGCTGATTTATTCCATGAACACAGGTAAAAATTAACATTACACACTCAGGCATCTTGCACCTCCAATCCTTCTTCAGTGAATCTGTTTGGCTCTTAGAGAGCTCTTTATATTTGCTCAACTGCCCAATAAAGAAGGTTTTCTCTTTTTGCCACTGGACTTGGCGATGTCTGTTGCCAGCTCTGCAGCTGGCCATAGCAGTAGTCAAAACATGAAGCAAGTCAATGTGTGTGTATGTCTGTTGATTAAGTGGTGTGTAGCTAAAAACATTCTCACACGACCTCTAGTAACATGTCGTGACTTAAACATAACAACATATTATGGCTAAGGCTACAGTTATACACGTCATAATAATAATATTAAACATCCTGTCTGCTGACAGTCATCAACTTTTCTCTCTAGATATCCTTGACCAGATGTACCCTGTAGAAACTCATAAGCATGCCTAAGCATTTAACAGTCTAACTAGACATCCTATCTCCACTAAACATTTCTAATACATAAAGTATCTAGTTAGTTTTTTGTGCCTCTTCTGTGTCTGTTTCTTAGAGCTCTGTGTACTCCTTATAGCAAAATCAAACTTGCCAATATTGTACAGTAAAAAACTGAAATCCTTGACTTCTGTGTCTGTTTCTTAGATCTCTGTGTACTCCCTATAGCAAAATCAAACTTGCCAATATTGTACAGTAAAAAACTGAAATCCTTGACTTCTCAAGTCTGATGACATCTCAAAATCAACAATCCTGCTTCTCTCTGAGTGTGGAATTGTGGTTCTGAATACCAGTTTGTGAAACTCAGTGCAGTTTAATATTGTCTGTGATGTAATCAGTTTTAGTCCTTTGATGTGCATGCAAATTCTGAAACTGAGATGTCATGGTTGCTATTGGATACCGCCCCACCCCCTCCCTCCGCACACACACACACACACACACAGGGAAAACATGAGAGGCACAGAAAGGTATGGAAGCCCATTCCCGCCAGTTAAATGAGAAATAAAACGCTCTAAGTCGTTATTTCTACTTATCTAAGTCGGACGGAAGTAGTTATTCTTCTTCGTGTTTTGTCGCGGAGACTGATAGCTAACGCTACAGCACCTTTCACACCACACAGTTCAGATGGATGGAATAATTGAAGATTATTTCAGGCGTGGGTCCGTTTTGAGTTAATTTCAATGGCTGTTTGTTATCCAGTGCACGCTACGCTACGGTAAAGGGTGCTGCAGCTCTCTGTCTCCGCGCCAAAAACAACCAAACAGGAAAAAGAATAACTACTTCCGCTTGACAGGCTTACGTCAAGATACTTTGAGCTATGTAGGAATTTCGAGTTAGCTATGTAGTTATTCCGACTTAGCTAAGTCGAAATTCTGACATAGCTAAGTTAGAATTTCTACTTAGATTTACTTAAGTCATTATTTCTACTTAGCTATGTCGGAATTTCGACTTAGCTATGTCAGAATTTCGACTTAGCTAAGTCGGAGTAACTGGCGGGAATGGGCTTCCCTAGTAAGGCCCCAGGTGTTGCGTTCGTCAACGAAAATTATGACAAAATATCGTCATCAATGAACCCTTATCGCGTGACGAAAACGAAGCGAGACGCAACAAAAATGCTGGTCATGTGACGATGACTATAATTAAATGTATAATGCAATATTGTTGACGAAAAAAACGAGACTACATGTACATTACAAAATAAAAACTATGCTAAAATGTCTCTTATTTTCGCGTTATTATTATTATTATTTTGCAATATTTCTGTTTCCTGTGTCTCGCTTCAGGGGCTGCATCCAAATGACATAATCGTCTATGTATATTATGTCTATGTAGGTTACAGACAGATGTTTCAAATAACTTAGTTTAGCTTAGCATTGGCTGGCTAGCTAAATGCTAATATTTTACACGCTGACTGGTTTCGAAGAAATGAAGTCGGTGTTTTTGATGAGAAACATCATTCATTCATGTTTTCACTGACTTAGCTAACCTCTTTCAGTTAGCGAACTTTACGCAACGCAGGTCAAGTGTTTATTACGTTAACTATATGCTAGTTAAAAGTAAAGATACTACTTATACTGTGTTATGGTGATATACCCGCTTTTAAATGGACAGAAAATACCTTACCAACAAATCACAGATACATCCCAACTAAAGGTTTAACCAGCTAAATTGCCATACCGAGCACAGAAATCCTATAGTGAGAACCTACTACGCTAAGTACCGTGGCCATGACAGTTGGTTTAGCTAAATGAACAGTATCTCCTACGTGGAACAGGCAAAGACGTCCCTTGTAAGATTTTAATGTTTTAGGATAATGAGGATGGGTCCAAAAATGTTTTTGTCTGTATTAACTGTAATCACATTTCTAACAGTTTAAAAGCTAGTTTGAGCGCATCCCCCTTCTTTCTAAAAGTAATTTCAAGTTAAAGCTGTTTTTGTGATTAAATTATTAAAAAATGGTTTGTTAGCCTTAGTTTTTCTTCATCTCCATGTTTAGAATTATGTGAACTGAAGAACACAATTTCCAAACTCACATTTAATAATTATAACACAACTTACAACACCACCATTTTGTAAGAGTACAAAATACAAAATAGTACAATTAAACATTTTCTAGTGGTCCTGTACTTCCATTGACAATTTATTGAAACACTTTCCAATAGCAAAAGCAAACATCAAATGATCATCATATGAAATAGCACAAAAAGAAAAGAAATTAAGCAGATACATCTCAATTAACAATACACAGTTTTAAGTCAATTAACAGTACTTACAATATTGTAATGTAAATTTTAGTTTAAGACAATTAAGAGTACCTGTTGCAACTGTTCACTACATTTCAAGGATTGAAGAATTAAAATTACAAAAGCAACACTACAAAAATGGAGAAGAATTGTAATGTGGTAACTGAAGTTCAGCTGGCACCAATGTCTGTAGGCCATGCTAGCTGTGTTCCAAATCCGTACTAAAATACTAAATCAAGGGAGGTGAAAAAATATAATATACACTACTCACAATTTGATATCTGTCAGCATAAGTAGCGTATCCAGTGTATTGTGTAAAATGGTATACTAACCGCAAAATCAGTGCTTTAGAGAGTAGTACATAGTATATACTCTGTAGTGTACTGTAGGAAATTGGAACACAGCTGTTGTGTAATTCAGCACACATCATTTTATACACTGTGTGGTTTGTTGTTGTCTGTTACTGACTGAAACATCCAGTAGGCAATGTTATATGAAACACGGAGAGAGATTGTTCATGTTGCCTCTATGGGTAGATTTTAAATACTGTATTCACTTGATGGCTTTATGTTATTCTGTAAAATGCAACACTAGATTTCACATCATGTACAATTTCTGCTGATTGCTTTCTGACATAAGTCGTCTTGTAGATGTTGAGACATCATTGTGAATCCCCTCTCATTGACCCAACAATATCCTGTATAAAGTTCAGTGTAATAAACTCAGCTCAGGAGTGGATGTAGAAGTGGAAAGCACAAGTGCAACACAATCATCTAATACAAGAGCAGACAGGAGGCTAATGATAGTTGTTTTTTTGGTCAAATATGTTCAACATTCAGATTTAGGCAGCTTAACTGTATACAAACCTTCCAGATAAGTAGTCACTCATTCAAAGAGGATGACTACCCAGGAGTCAACGGTGAGTGCTTTTTAATAAGAATTCATATATTTTTCACAACCAATAAAATACATTCTCATTTCAGTGATGTTTACACACATTTTCAGTGCCCAGTAATCCAAAGTAATACTGCTAATTACTGTGTTAATATTCTGAAACCCGCTTCAATACCTTCCAAAGTAGACCCAAGATTTCTTTGTTTCAGCACAGGCAAAGGCTACAGAGAAGTTACTGGCAGAGAGTTATACCCAGTAACATCTTTAACAACCACACATTATTCTAGCTTCTTCCAATCCCAAGCTACCTCTTCTTGAACTGAGGTTATCTTCCCTGCTGCTGCTCCCCAATAACATTAACCATCACCATTAAAGTAAAGACACACAGCTTGTAAATATTCAGACTTTCAGGTGTTACCGTGTGGGTTCCAGTGATCCTGTGACCTGGAAGTTTATCCCGTCTCCAGGCAGAGGTGATGGGATGAGGGGACAAAGCCAGCAGAGGTACCAGCGAAAGCCCAGAGAGTGACGCAGGTTGCCCAGGAGTCCCAGGTTGTAGGGTCGGCGGGATGAGTACCACTCCCTCGTGGTCTGTCCCCAAAACAGCAGGAAGAGATGGAAGAAGAAGAAGGCGGACACCAGCAGAAAGCCCACCACACACGTGTCTGCGATAAAGGCGAAAGCGAAGGCACGTGCTGAGACCTGGCCTAGGACACAGAGAAGAGACAGAGTCAGCCAAGGCTTTGTTAACGGGCTCCATTTGATCTCAAGCAACTGAACCAGTGCACCAGAGGCATAAAGACAGCATCCTTGTGCATTAAAATTTAACAAGAGCTCAGGGGGAAATAACATATAAGACACGGCATTTGTCAAATTGAATACGAGGAAACAATTCCTCTGGCATTAAAGTGCCATTTTTATAGTTTCCTTAACATGTACAGTATTTATGATTGCAGGTACTGATCGCTGTGGAAAAATGTGGTTGATTAATACCACATTATTATCAGAACGTTCTCTCATGTGAGCAAGTAAAAATATATGAGACAGGTAAACAATGAATTAGGGAGCATCAGGCTTGGGAATATTTGTTATTATATATGGTAGTATACACTATGTGTATGTGATGGCTAGTCAAAAATAGGTCATTTCAGAATAATTAAAATTAGTTAATCTTAGTAGTAAAAAAGTACAAACAAATGTGTACCTCTACCAGGTACAAATGAAAGTTTTGTTTTGCTTTTTGTGTGTTATAATAATAGCACTAAAACAAACTTTCTGCATGCTTTACAAGAATATATACAATCAAGAGACTTACAGTCCAGTACAGACTAGAACACATCTAAACTGGTGCTACAGTATGTATAAAGCCAGGAACAATTTATTACCTGGTGGAATTCAAAAACTATTTAATGAAAGGGAAGGGGGATACAATTTAAGGGGTCAGTTAAATTTAAAAATTCATGCTATACGTACAACCAAAAAAAGATTTTGTATTTCCATAAGTGGGGTAAAACTATGGAATAATTTAAGTGTAGACATAAAAAATAGTAATAGAATTGACGAGTTTAAACATAAATATAAAGGTATGTGTCAATCAAGATATATGCAAGAACAGGCTTAATGATTAATTAAGCTTTCATACAGTCTAAATTGTTACAATTTTTTGATTTAGTGGGATATAAGACTGCAGTGTTTATGTATAAAGCCAGGAGCAATTTATTACCTGGTGGAATTCAAAAACTATTTAATGAAAGGGAAGGGGGATACAATTTAAGGGGTCAGTTAAATTTAAAAATTCATGCTATACGTACAACCAAAAAAAGATTTTGTATTTCCATAAGTGGGGTAAAACTATGGAATAATTTAAGTGTGGACATAAAAAATAGTAATAGAATTGATGAGTTTAAACATAAATATAAAGGTATGTGTCAATCAAGATATATGTAAGAACAGGCTTAATGATTAATTAGATGGAACATTGTGGGTGTGGTGTATGAATGTTAACACTTTGTAATAATTCTTTAGTATATTACTTGTGTGGTGTAGAAGAGAATTATTTAAGAATGTAATTATGTAAGAATGTTAACACTGTTATAATCATTTTTTAGTATAATATTAAGTGTGTGTGTAGAAGTGAATCATTTACTGCTTGCAAACCAATGATGGTAAGATGATGTCATGGGGTAGGACTGGATAAGTCTGACTTCTTCCTACTCCATTCAAGCATGTACTAGGTATAAGCAAATTGATATTGGATTATGTGTACAATCATGTGTGTTGTCATATCAACTGTCTTTACATGCTTGAAATCAAATCAATGTATTCATTGCCATTGGGATGAAAAGAGAATTTCAAAATATTCAACACTATCTTTAATTAACTGGTTGACCAAGATAAAATTAACTGGCAACTTTTGAGAATCCAATAACTGTATTTTTTCCAAACAGAAATACCAATATGAACCCCTTCCAGGCTTTACAGTGTGAGGATTTACAGGTTTTTATTGTAAACAAAATATTCTGGGGTTTTGGACTGTTGTTAGAAAAAACAAGTCACTTGAAGATGTCAGTTTATAGAAAAAACCCAACCGATTAATCAAGAACATAATGAGCAGACTGTTTAAAAACAGAAAAGCAAAACAACAACAACAACAACAAACATGCTTTACGTTTGACACAGGTTTTTGACCACCCTTGGTAACTGGGCTTGCACTTAAAGAGCACTTTTTGACCTTCTCTACCTCCTGAGCCACAGCTGCTCCACCCTTCTTTCCTCTAGTTTTCATTTAGGAGCTCACTCTGCTTTAAAAGAACAATGAATTCTACCTATCAGTGTATGCAGTATGTTTATAAATTATAAGTACCACAGCTGCAAGGAGCAGAAGCCAAGAAGTGAGAAACCAGATCCTACCTGAAACCAACATGATCCAAGGTATGAGCAGCAGAAGGACACTGTGCACAGTCACCCCTTCCTTCAAAATGACAATGAAGACCTCTGCGTTCATCAGAGTGGCATACAGAAGTCCAGACCACATAAATAACAAGCAGCTGAGGAAGTAGCGGTAGTTACGGAAGCCTACGCACTGGCCAAAAAAGACACAGTGGTGATCCCGCCGCAGCACACACACTTTGCAGTCGTAGCAGTGGGAGCAGCGTGGAGGAGTGTGTGTCTCACATGTGTAACAGTACCTGTGTGGAGAAAAGGGAAACTATTATTATATAGAGGTGCTTATAAACATTTCACAGATCAAACTGGCACAAGTGGTAAATCTATCTTTACATCTCTGAAAAATCTGAGAACCTGTTTTCTTAGATCGTGATAGATATTTATTCCCTGTATAATCTGTTGAAGATGTAATGATCTAGCATGGTCCAGCCCAGCTACTATACCACCTGAATCATCCGATAACCTGCAAAACCTCCTACAACAAAGACTACAATAAACCACAATGTGACTGCATCCTTCTGGCTTCATTGTGTCTGACTGCACAACGACCATGTTCACCACATGACCTGCAAATAATCAGACAACCTTCAGTTCCTTAATACTCCTCAAGTATTTTACACACACTCTAGACAACCCCTCCACCAACCTAGGATTTCCATAGTCTGCACAGATGATTCAGTGGGTAGATTTGGTTTATGATGAGTTAATCCCATGTAACTCAAGAATGCCCTTTCAGTGTAAAAGCACTTTTTAAAATCTCTTTTTCATTCACAAAATGAAAAAGATATACTGTGCATTTTCTCCTGTTTCACCTATTTCAGCCACACATTACTTTTCTATTATAAATGATCTTCTTTACTATTTTGTAATCTCTAACGCGTACAACTATGCTTTGTTTTGTTTTTGATTTACGGTATTAGTGTTGCTTTTCTATTCAAATATCTCAACTCAAAAACATCCCTTGACGGGAAGGAAGGAAGTTTAACGTTACTGAAACTTTGAAAACAACTCCAGACCAGAAGTACACGGGTAATTAGGGTTGCCTATAGTTTGAAAATACAGTGCACTGTAAATTCACGCAACAAGGTGACGTGTAGGCTAATTCATCTTCTGGTCTATAACAATCACCCACAGTTCTTTCCGTACCTCCACCCCTGGCCCATGCCCTCTCCACCCAGGAACACCCCCTTGATGCTGGGACTGGTTCTGAGGAAGAGCAGGGCGTTCCAGCAGATGTTGCCCAGCATGAAGTACTGGGCCAGCAGGTGGATCATCTTCCACCAGGCGGACCACTCCGTCTTCTTCTGATCCGCCTCCAGCGGAGCTTCGACCAAGACAAGGTAGCTCACCTCCCCGGTGATAGAGAAGACCAGGAAGGTGTTGAGGGCTACGGGGAGATGGCGACACACCTTGTCTACCCTATAAAATATTGTACTAGCAAAACTCGCCATGTTTTCTGCCCGTTCGTATCCGTAGTGTTTGAATCAAAACGCAATGAGCTCAGAGAGAGGACTGATTTGACAGACGCACTGTGGAAACTGATGGTTAGCTTTGCCAAAATAGCTGCTTCATTATCTTTAATCGAGGTTAAATCAACCGCAGTATATTAGTGATACCTAGAAATGATCCGGGACAAGTTAATGTGATGTAAAATTTAAAATATGATGTTGTTGGCTCTATATAATGTCCTTTCTTTACCACGTTCTCTGCTACTGTACAGTCGAGCATCTGCCAACAGGTGTTACACGAAAATATATCCGTAATACAAGGTATTATAGTTCCGCGTGTAAGATTTCACTTTACAAATTAAGAGTACTGTATATTTCCTACAAAACATTTGAAGAATTTACAAAATGTTTTGTTACAGATGAAACTACCCAACAGTATATACAGTACACTAACAGTAGCAGTTAAACAGTTAATCTGTTAGGCAGTGACAGAAAAGATTACACTTTTATTATTATTTTTCATGTAAAATTGCAGACATTTCATGGTTCCAGCTTCTTAGACATGGTATTTTAAAATAAAAATAAAAAATCTGATTTAGCCTGTGAAAGTGTCAGTTTGGAAAAGACATTTCTCATTATTGTCTGAATTTTTACTAACCAAACAACCATTTGTTTAATCTTGAAAATGAATAAGTCAGGAGGTAAATCAATAATGAAAATAATGAATTTACCCATTCCCCCATTCATGGCACACACCTAATTTGATCTTTATTGTCTGAAAACACAGGTGCAGATACGTATACAGAAAAGATGATAAATATACATGACTGTTAGTCTACATTAACCTGAAAAACTACACATTTTTCTGTGCTTTACAGTTACCTGTAGGTAAGTAGGCTGTAGGTTTCTTTATAAAAATAAAGATGTATGTATATTACATTCCAATCTGAAGCCTAATAGCCTAAAGGTCTTAACAGAGGGTTCAGCTGTATATTTAAGATGCTTGCCTGCTTGTGTTTTATGTGTTTGCCACACTCCTCCAAAACATAAATTAGACAGAAATCAGTTTTGAATATATAACATTATTAAGAACCACAGTAATGATTTTTACTTTTTTCAAGTAGACTTGCTGTGTATTTAAGTGGGTAATTTAACTAGGACAAAAAAAAAAAAAAAGCTGTTATAACTTAACCCCCCTACCGTGTCCCCCCCCCCCCAGAGTGCAGACCTTAATCCCTGATAATCTCAACATCTACATAAATCCTGCAGTCATGGCTGCACCGAAGGAGAATTTACAGTCTCTTGGACATCTGACCGGCACAGAACAAAACACTTTTACAAACCACAGTGTTAAAAATAGGTAAGATCATTGAATGCTGCCATGGAGTCAGGGTGGGATACATATGGAATTTGTTGTTTTCTTCTTTAAACACTGTAGAAATTATTCACTAAACACAATAGGCACTGTTTCAAGTATATTCCAGTAATACTACTTAGTTAAATAATTTATGTATTGTTTGGTTTAGAGTACATTTTCTTCATGAGTGGGATTTGAATGCTACATTCATTCAGCAGTGTATGTAAGCAGTGAAGTTTAATACTGTCAGCTCAGGTATGTGTGTGACATGGGTTAATATGATGTTTTATTATGATGCACTGCCTCTTTACAGTTCCAAGCTGTTTCAAGCTGACTTCTCAAATCTCCAGAGTCATCTGTAAGTGAACTGACAAAAATCAACAAAATGTTTAAATTGTGGATCACTGTGTACAGTATGCTGTTGTAAATGTTTTTGATCTCACCTTGCATATGTGTGTTACCCACAGCAGAGTGATGCACCTGCAGCAGCACTGGCAGGAGCTGAAGGAGAGAGAGCAAGCAGCACGACAACACAACAGGCAGCTTATGCAGCAGTTAGAGAAAGCTCAGGACATGCTGAGAGAGATGTTGGCCCGCAGTGCTGCCATGAAAACTATTCGGGTACATGGACACAGAAAACACACACGCACACACAGTGCAACAGAAGAATTTAGGAAGTAGCTCGGGAAAAGGAGCCATTCCTCTTTCCTCTGTGAAGCTGTGGTGCTGAAAGCTCTTCTTGACCTTTGCCTCTTGCAGATGGAGTATGAGCGGCTCCTGGTGGAGAGCACCCCACTCCGGCAGCAGCAAATCAAGAAGAAAACACAAACTGCTCAATGGAAGGTAAGAGCAGAGTTGTCTTGTGTTGAACATCTTCCCTAAACTTTACTCCTCCGAAAATCCGAAATGTGGCCAAGGTTCACAACTCGGCTTTAGATTTGAACTCAGCTATCATGAATCATTTTGATATTTGATGAAAGCTGATCTTCAAAAAGGTCTTCTTCCTAATGCATAGCATTATTAGAGTGAGCACTGACAAAGTCCACAAAGTCACAAGATACACATTAACAGAGCCAATGCTGCTGTTTACTACTCATTATCTGTCTAAATGATTCATGTGACAAAGAATGTTTTTTTTTCTACTTATAGCATTTAAGATAATGTTTTACTGTATGCCATGATGCCCTATCAGTGTGAAAAAGAAGATGTAGGATTATTTAACATCATGTCTAAACAATAGAGTAGCAAAGCCCTTTGCAGATTGACCTCTACTTGCACAAGGTTTGTTCTCTTCCTCATTCACTTTAACAAATAGTAGTGACACAATTACCTCAGTTTTAAAAAGAAGTTTCTGTTAGGTAAATTTGCGGTATTTATACATTCTTCTAGAAGATCGGAACTTATTTCAGAAACTATTTTCCACAGCCAAGTTGTGCTGTTGTATTTTTTTTTTTAGTTTTTTTATTCTGAAATTTGATTTATAGAATCACACCAATTTTTTTTTATTTATTTTCATGCAAACATCCAAACTCCCATTTAGCACTTATTTCTGTTTGCAGGCCCTACCAAAAGGCCACAAAGTTGATGCACCTCTAGGGCAAAACAACCAAAACAGCCACTCAGACTACAACCAAGATGTCTCCTCTCATCTCCCCTACATTCAGTCCTCCTGGCTAACCCAACATCAATCCCATTTGAGGGTCTCGCAGTTTGCGAGGGAGGAGGCTGAGACAAGCGGAGCATCAAGCTCAAGAAGTGAGAGAGGTGGTGGAAGCAGAAGCAGTCATTTGTCCCAGGAGCTTGACATTAAACCAGGTGGGAAAGGAAAACACAAGCACTCGTATCAGTGTGTGTATGCATATGGTATGTACAAGCTTGTCTTGCCTTATCTTGTGTTGTACTGTACATAGTCCGTCTGTCCAGTGGTCATACAGAGAACAGTGAGAGCAGCAGGGATTCAAGTCAGACCAGCAGAAAGAGGAAGAAGATAGGAAGATCACATTGTACCTCCACTGAGAAAGAGGAGCACAGCTCTCAGGAGTAAGTAAATATGTTCTCAGTAGATTTCACTCTGTATTTGGTGCAACTAATTCACCTAACCATTTGTGTTCCCTGCATACTGTATTGGCTTTTCACTTTTGTTCTGTCAAGAAGTAAGACTCACACAGCACATGTTGCATGAATGCTTATTGCTTTAAATGCAGGGCCATTTTAAATGGGGTATTTTTATTATGTGGTATTGCTGTTTTTACTCTGGAAAATCTTCTACCTTACCTTATTGTCTACCAACATAGAATGTTGTTCCTTCCTCTTTCAGGTCATCTAGGAGTTCCAATGCTGTTGTCAATACCTCAGTTGAAGCCATCAAAAGATCAGGAAATGACTCCTTATCAGGCAAAAACAGCACAACTCGAAGTAGGAAAACAAGGAGAAGAGGTGGGAGACAAGTTGCTGAATCACCAAGGATGGAGACTGTGGCAAAGGAAAAGGCCAGGAGCAAGGGAGATGAGTCTGGGAGTCAGTCCAGTGGTGAGGAGGCAGGATGTCAGACTGAGGAATGCACGAGTGAAAATGCAGCAAATTATAGTCCAGATGACAAATCAGAGAGCTGTAGCGTGGAGGTGGGAGGCATTTGTATAAAGCCTGAAAACAAAGGTGGAGCCAAAACAGATCTGGGAGGTGGAAATGGAGATGATGTTGCTGAAGAAAAAGATAAATGTCTAATAGAGGAAGAGCAGGAGGAGAGAGATGATGATAAAGGTTCTGCCAGAAAGAACACAACAGAGGAAGAAGAGGAGACGGGAGCAGAAGACGGGATGGAGGAGCAGAGGAAGAAGAGGAGACGGGAGCAGAGGACGAGATAGAGGAACAGGAGTGTGAGGATCAGGGAGATGATATAAACAGGCTGAAGAAAAAAGACTGTGAGAAGAGACAACAGGGTCCTGCCTCCTCTCAGGATGAAGATGAGGGTGAAAGGTGTGAGGAGAAGACAGAAGAGGATGAGGGGTCGGACAAGGAGGAGCAGAGGAATGATGAAGAAGAACCAGAGGAGAAAAGAGATTCAGAGGACAGTATCATCTCAAAGGAGAACAGGTAAGATGAAGAAATCAGATGATTTTCATTGCAAATGACAACACCTGAACCACATGATATCTGTTTTAGATCTAAAAAGATGCCAATTGTCCCTGGGGAAGCATCTGAGGATTATGCTACTGAGAAGGGGAGTAAGACAGGATCCTCTGATGACTCAAATGATTTCAGTGAGGACGACGATATTGAGAATCTCCTTGCACCTCAAGAACAAAGAAGAAAAGAGTGAGTAGTTTTTACTTCTCTAATGGCAAAATGCATCTGAAAATATGTTTCCAACATTTTTTTTAAACATTTTCAGAGAAAAGGACCTGAAAGCTGAGGAGAAACACAAAGGTACAGAGTGTATCATTACAATCACATCCCAAAAAAAACTTGGTGTAGATGCTGATTCTGGTCTCTTTCATTTTCCCCCAGCAATTTGTGACAACGTGGAGATGTTTCAAGTGAAGCTGGACAGATCGACGGAGTCAAATCACCAAAGTGACTCTGATGATTTTTATGACTAAATGTGTTGGTCCTAACTGCCCACACATGAGAACAGAGGACAACAACATACCTCAGTCACTTAGAATTTAGTGTAATATTAAAACTACTTATGAAAAACTAGGTTATAGATATTTTGTTTCCTAGCATTTAATTAAATTGAAATCCAAATGTTCTACCCAAGGATGAAAAAAGAAATCTCATCTAGAATAACCCCAATATATTAAACTGCTATAGATATACTTTTTTCACATCAGGTGTAACTCAAACCACAGGATAACTATAAAAATACTCTGTTAGAACAAACAAATACACAGTGAAGTAGAAAGGGTGACAATTTATTGGAACTGTTGTGGCTGTATTTGAGTGACTGGTGACACCACCATTCAGACTAAACCCCAACAGAATTAGATTTTCTCTTTACATTTTTACATCAGGGTGTTTGGAGAGTGCAGCTTTTTGTTTGCAACCTGACCTCACAAAATGGCTCAGGGTCTTTGATCAGGTTACTTCAGGTGACAATAAACACTGAGTCTTTCCACGTGTTAGATTTTTACCACCTGAGCAGCCAAACAGGGGCTCACTCTCTTCCCATCCTCTGACGGGGCGCTCCGCTGAATGAGCAGCCGGCCGTAGGTACCACCCACCTGGCCTTTGGTGAGACGTCCAGGATTGATGCAAACACAGCCGACCACATCCTGAAGACAGACAGAGATGAGGTCAACAAAAGACTAAAGAGGCCTTTCCTACGATCTTCAGTCTAAATGTTTTTTTTTTACAAATAAAAATGTGTCCACTGGGAGGAGGCATACTTTCAGTGAAACTTTGGTTTTGATAGTTTTTTAGAAGCAGCTGCATTATGTGAGAATCAAGTGCAGTTCTTTTAAAAAGTCAACACATTGAAGTCTGATCAACAGATTGAATTTCCCTAACTTTGTTTTTTGCATTATAAAAACTAAAAGGCCATCTAATGAAATGAGAATGACAAGTTTCTGTCTTGGAGGCCAGTACCTTTACAAAGTAGCGCAGCTCAGAGGGAACTATGAGAACGTCAGGGGTGAGCGGCATCTGACCGAAGCTCTGGAACTTCTCATAATCCATATTAACGTCCTCCACAGGGGGGTACAGCGGATAGTAGCTGAAAGGTGTAACGACAAACACAACGGTCATTAATGCTGTGCAACTTCAATAAAGGAAAGAATGAGTGAACTCGTCTTAGACTCCTACCTCCTTTGTGTCAGCATGTGTTTCAGTATGCGTGAGAATCTGTCTGATCCTGTGCCACTGCATCACAAACCAATGGGTTGTTTGGGTAAAGACCACATGAAATACAACACAGCTCAGAGCCAGTTTATTCATGAGAATGATGTGACACAAACTAAAAACATTTTATTTCATTCTATTCCGACTGATCGGATTCTCCCTCACCAGCTGATCTCTTCTGCGCCCATGTGGAACAGGATGTCAGTGGATGTCAAGCCAATGGTCACACCGTCAATCAGCAGGGTGCAGGGGTCAGAGACCAGGGTGACATGCTGCAGAGCATGAGGGGAAACATTACATGATGCTGATCATTACGTGATTATGCACATGCCAATGACTAGACAGATAATTTTCTTAGTTCCTCTGCTTGAAATCTTACTGATAATAACCTGAGTGAAAGAGGCATTAGAGACTTTAAGACATGAATCTGGCATCTTTAGACTTGGACCCCTCCCTATCTCCTCACAAATATGTACTTTAAAACTAGCAGAAAGATGCATGCCATGATTGCTCACAAGCCTGTTGCATATGCTCATCATCAAGCAATTTTAGTTTACACAAACACTTCCACAATCAGATTTTTGTGTATCTGACCTGGGCCTGATCCCTGATCCGGTTTGGCAGGGTGAAGGGAGGCTGTGGGTAGATAAAATGGTGATGGACATCTCTCTGGGAGGGTACAAACACCAGGTGACAGCCCACACTGGACAGAGGAAAACATCATTAAGGTATATATGTTCTGATTAAGACACATCATAAGGCACCATGAGGAGCTTAAAGGTCCTCATTATGTCATATGAGAAATACCTTTTGGTTCCATCCACAATGCTTTCGATACATCTTGAGAACATCTCCTCAAATGTCTCAATCACCTGGGCTTTCTGTTGAACAAACACATATAATCATGATCAAAGCGTCAGAGTGATCTGAGCAATTGGACACAAGCAATGTTCTGTTTCTCCAGAAGAAGAGGGTACTCTGGTATGAGGGCACAAACTGAGTATGTCCATGGTTGAACCTACCTCAATCTGTTCATGTTTGGAATCCACAAACGGTCCCAGCTGGAAGAAGAAAAAACAAAAACAAAAACAACAAATAAAGAGTCATATGAGGACTACGTGCCTGTAAAACTACTGACAGAAGCATTTATGAGGATCTATCCAGACCTGGATAGTGTGTGTTGAAGAACTACAGAGTATGATGGAGCAACAACCGTACCAGCAGGCAGACATCAGGGCGATCCCTCACGATGAGAGAGATTAGGTCCAGCAGAGGGTCAAAGGTCAGACTGTCAGAAGGAGTGTACGGTCCACAAGCCACCAGTACATTCAATGGCTCTGCATTCAAAAGAGATAGAGTATGTTCATTTATGTAAATGAGACAAATGAAGTCAATTAGTCAGTAACAGGACGCACTGAAACCAGTATGAACCAACATCATTCCTTACCTTCATCTATCTCCATTTTCATCTCAGGAGTGTAGAAGGGAAGAGGAACTCCCTAAGGACAAACAATCAAGCACCATTTCTAAAGCTCAGATATCAATTTATATTTTGAAACAATATTTCAGGTAAATGGTGATTTATAAAGGCATCATCTTTAACTCTTAATTTAGTAGTCTTTGGAAATTTTGTTAAACTTGTAGCTGACCTCATAGACTTTGGAAGCCATCAGTTTCGTCCCTGTTGTGTTCATTCCCTCCATCACTACCACCTGGGAAAAGACAACAGCCAAGGGGATGAATCCAAGAACACCATAAACGCTTCCTGGAGAGTGAATTAATACACAGCAGGCATGTGGAAATGGGCTGAATGGTTGTCAGAGTTCTCGGTCAGACGCTGGGTGAGTCTTCTGCCCAGGTCCTTGGCATGCTCTGTTACTCTTGGTGGCCATATAACCTGCTGCACACAAACCTCAGTGCAGAGGCAAAGGAGAGACCACCACTCAGTGTGTGTGTGAGATTAACTACTGCAAACAGTTGCACAGCTGGATGTAACAAGATTTTTTTTTTAAAGATCTAACTCACAAAGTTAAGAATACTTTAGTAAACAACCTGCCAAGAGAAGAGGTTTTCTTCTGCTCACCTGACCAGGAAAGAGAGAGTACTCTTTGAGCTCTGATAAATCAACAGGTACTTGCTGACCACCTTGCTCTGGTCCTGCCTCCAACAAAACCGACTGTGCGTTCAGCTTTCCATTACTGTCACAGCACACCTGCCCCATCACTGTTATACTTTCCTAAGGGTGGACAGATACACACACACAAAACTGAGCAGTCAGGCAATAAGTTGATATTGTAACTACGTGTATCTATTCACAACCTTTGGGAAATCACAGTTCCATTTCTAGGAGTTTTTCCACAACAGAAACACCTTTGTACCTGAGCGGGCAGAGAGACAGGGGAGAACTCTTCAATGCGGAATTGAGACTTAAGGCTGTCCCCAAGCTCCTCAATCTTCTCTGACAACACTGTGAAGCAGAGAAGCAAAATCCTGTATCACAGGCTTCAGGCACCTCGAGTTAGTGACTGTATAGACATTCATATGGTCTCCATTTATCTGATGAGGTTTTTCCATTTACTTTAGATGTATGTTTTTACACCAATATGCTCAGGGAAGCCATTGTTTTTGACATAGAGTAAAAGGGACAAGGTTTCTGAGACTGATAAGAAAGAAGAAGCCTGTATGGCTACATACCATTTCGAACATCACGCAGCCTCTGGAACATGTACTGGTAGCTGCATCGAAGGGAGTCTTCAGGCCCCTCCAGCAGCTCCAGCTGGACGCGTGCTTCTGGAACCTTCCTACCTACCCAGCGGGTGCCCTGCACAGCCCCAAATGTGACCACCACCTCCCCTTTCCCCCCTCGCTGGCTGTATTTTTGTGAGGGAGTTGCACTGCAGAGAGAGAGACAGATGGAGAGAAGGGCAGTGTCAGGTCATGGTATAACAAATACCGTATTTTCCGCACTATAAGGCGCACCTAAAAGCCTTAAATTTTCTCAAAAATCGGCCGTGCGCCTAATAATCCGGTGCGCCTTATGTGTGCACTGAGTTCCAAAATCTGTAAAAATGTTGTTCATGTTCATGAATTCAAAATCAACGAATCTATGATTCGGAAGTGGAGGAAGCAAGAATATGAACTGCGCCAAGTTAAAAAGGTGAAACAGAGTTTCCGCGGGAACAAAGCGAGGTGGCCACAGTTAGAAGACGAACTTGAACGATGGATTATTGAACAAAGAACAGCCGGGAGAAGCGTCTCTACAGTCACCGTTCGACTGAAGGCAACAACGATAGACAAGATCGAAGACTTTCAAGGAGGTCCGTCTTGGTGCTTTCGTTTTATGAAAAGGTGTCATCTCGCAATCCGCGCAAGGACTACCGTGGTGCAGCAACTGCCAGCGGATTACAAAGAAAAG